ATGCAGCAAAACGTTTTTTATACTCAATCAAATATTAATCAATTGCAGAAACATGTATTAGTCTGTTATGGAGTAGTTACATCTTTACCAGTTGTCCCCGACCTTTTTTGTTCCAAGGACTGGTCAGCCAGTACCACCCGTTACTACAGACCGTTAGCAAGGTGCCGAGCATGGAAGGATCGTTACATTTTTCAAAATAAAACATCCTTTTACGCTGTACGATTTTTGAAAATCTTGTCGTTGATACCATCACACTGTACGAGTGATGTACGGACAAAGCTCACGATTTATGTACTCGCACTGTACGGTCCGATCATCGAACACGACCAGAGAGCTCACACTGTGCGGGTGAAAACGGCCCGTCGCCCCCTGCTGACTGTCCTGTGTATTGACAGCTGTCAATAAAGATTTATTTGAAAGCTCTGACGCCGGTTATTAGCAACATGAGTTGCTGCGATACTGTGGACAGTACGTTTGGAAAAGAAGGGGCGCCGGCGCGTCTGGAGTCGGAGATGGCTCAATAAACGTGGACAGTACGGTGCTATTTTACGATAATATTTTCATGCCACCGACGTCTCGCCATAGTGACACTTGTAGTGATCACTTTGCGCAGGCGCACTGAGGGAGAAATGCTCCGGTCGGCTCAATGTGCGAAAGAATTTGTCGGCCGACTAAAATTTCTGACATGTCAGAAATTCTTACGACCGTCCGACGGTGGTTCAGGAACAGCAAATCGGCCCTCGTTACTGTATGGCAAAAAAGACGCCAGACGAAACGTGAAATCGGGCCGAGCGTCGCCAGGTTGTGCATCTCAAAAATAGGGTAAAAAAATTGGCTAAAATCGTACAGTGTATGTCCGCCCTTAGTATCAGAGTCTGAATGACCTATTATTTTAAAACATTGCCAGATTATCTTTAAATCAAGAAAGTAAATGGATACGACTGGATTTTCTTTGAATGACGTAAATTAGTAAAAATTAAGTACATTTTTTCATTGCGGCCCGGTACCAAATGACCTATGGACTGATACTGGTCCGTGGACCAGGGGTTGGGCACCCCTGATCTATACAGGTCTTTCATTTACAACCGGCCCTTCAAGGGGAACTGTATTGCTGATGTGGCCCCCGTGTAAAAATGAGTTCAACACGTCCGACCTAGATGTTAAAACCCATGATTGTGTTTATATTTGAATAATAAATATTTGTGCTGTCAGCAGACGAACCGTAGTATATCATAGTAAAATGTGCTGCATGTATGAAGTGCAAGTGTCTTTTTTTTTTGTGATTTTAGACATCTGGGCAATTGGCTGCATCTTCGCGGAGCTCTTAACATCGGAGCCTATTTTCCACTGTCGCCAAGAAGATATCAAGACAAGTAATCCCTTCCATCATGATCAACTGGATAGAATATTCAGTGTCATGGGTTTTCCCGCAGGTCTGTACTAATATACACTCTTCAGTACGATACAGCTACAGACAAAGATAAATGTATAGGGTAGATTTTTTTAAGACATAGTGTACAAATGAGTGAATATAGCTACGACATAAAAAGGCTTAAATATACTGTATATATTTTTTTTATGGACAGAAAAGAAGCCTATGTAATATATATGTATTTCCCGTTAGTGTTTTCCTCAAAATGTATTACAGAGGGGCTATTACAGAGATATGAGTTTTCCAAGTTACGAGTCAGCAACTTTTGCAAGATTTCCCTCGTGATACGACGAAACATCGAATTACGAGCGCTCAGCCGAGCTCCATTTTTCCACTCAACACTGTCGGGCTGTCTGTCCCTCGCTTTATTTCTCTCTTTCTCTCTCACTAACTCACTCTCTCTCTTTATCTAAATCTAAATCGAGTCCTCACTCCCAGTACTTCTCCTATCTTAGTGGCCTGGGTTATTTTACCCATTTTTATAAAAATATATATATATATATAAAATGTTTTTCTTAATTATTATTATTTGATATTATCAATATATTTGTTGATATATATATAAAATATAATATATATACAGTGAAAATTCTCTTTTCGCTCCCTCAGTACATCGCAGATATTTTTTTAATCCGTTTCGCGGAAGTTTAGCTATATCGCATTTTTTTCCGGGAAATATATATTTTTTAATTTCCAGTATTTTCATTATTTTTGTGATTTTCTAACATTTTCTAACCTAAAAATTAAACAGTAAAAATATAGCCGGGTCTTGGAACGCAACTATCGCGATAGGAGAGAACGGATTGATATGGCGAAGTTTACCTTTTCAGTGAAAAAAAACATTTGCTATGTAATGTAATATTTCCTGAAGCCACCGTACATGCGCTTGATTGACAAGTTGTTGTCCATAATTTGACAGATAAGGATTGGGAAGATATCCGGAAGATGCCTGAATATCCTACTCTACAGAAGGACTTTAGAAGGACGACGTAAGTAACGACGCGCCGATGATGTCATCATTGTCCCCATCTTCTAACAGCAACCAACCAATGACAAGAGAAGCAGTTTATTGTCTTACGGTGTGTTTTCTGTCCCCAAAAGGTATGCTAACAGCAGTCTAATCAAATATATGGAGAAACATAAAGTCAAACCGGACAGCAAAGTTTTCTTGCTGGTGCGTATACACACACACACACACAATTATACATTCTGTTTTGTACAGCTGTATACATACATATATACATATATAT